TATTGCATATATTTGGCATAAATAGATTTGATTTTCATGTGTTATAGATTAATGAAAGGGAATAGCACATTTCTATTTACTGAACATGTATACACTTTTTGTTTAAGAGGGAAAATTATTCCTGCAGCACTTGAGACTTCCATTGCCACAGCTAAAGAAAAGGTATGAATGAAAGGTTTTTTAAAAAATACATCAGTAAAAACAATCCTTGTCAGTAAAAATCCCTGCCTCTCTCTAGGGTTTGGTTCCTTTCTATGTGAACGCCACAGCAGGAACTACTGTGTATGGAGCCTTTGATCCCCTTAATGCCATTGCAGACATCTGCCACACACACACACTCTGGATGCACGTTGATGTAAGTGCTCTCTACACCTCTCCCTGCTTTCACACAGAGGACATTATTTACAGTGTAACCTTTGACCTACACCAAAATGTTTTCCTAAAATCAAATGGATTACAGTGTGCATACTTGCTTTTTGTCTTCAGTATCATGGTTGGACTATGTAAATAATTTATGCACCTACTTCAGGAGTAATACAATATACACTCAAACCAGTCTCTCTTTGTGCATAATTGCATATTATTACATTTGAGTTGAGTCTTTCATGCACCAGTTTTACTTTCCGTTTTGTGTGTTTGAGAAAAGAGAATCTGAAATCTAAAATCAGGAAGTACAGATTGCCGAGTGTTGTGTGCACACCACTAGCATCATGCAAATAAATTTGATGTTGTGCAAGTTTTCAAATTACTGCTACTTATAACATTTAAAGTACTTTTTGAGGCAGTTTAATTAAATTTTATTTACATAGCCCCAATTCACAACAACATTTATCTGATAAAGCATCCAAATGCGACTTAGAGTCACATTTGACTCATATTCATCTTGCCATAACCAATTTTGTAAGGAAGACTGAATCAATATGTTGATCATTTACTAACAAGGACCTAATATTTGGTAGTCCACAGTCCTGTAATGTACTCTTCCTGCTCCCAAATCTAAATAGTCAATTTTTAAGGGGTGTGTAATAAATTCTAGAAACACATTTGTAGAAACATAGATGGTCTATCTAAAGTGCCTGTGTTCTTTGATTCTGTCCCTCCAGGCAGCTTGGGGTGGAGGCCTGCTGATGTCAGACAGACACAGAATGAAATTGGAGGGCATTGAACGGTAACTATCCAAATATTCCCAGTCAGTTCACACAGCATATTTCCACTGGAACAGCACTATTAAGAGCCAACAAGCAATTTGAGAGCCAGCTCAACAATAAAGCAAAGCAAGGTTTCAAATGACACTGAACATAATGATTAGTTGAACTGAAAAGAAAATAACATACCCACCATCCAGCTTGACCACAGGAAGCATTTATGTTATATTGCATCGTGTTAGTACAGAACGTTTGAAGTGCATCATTTTTTTTATTATCTAACACACAATGAAACCCCTCCTTTATTAAATGTCCTGCCAGATGGAAAAGCCATCTGTGTTTATCACTGAGCCTCTCTTTGAGGCCCTCCCAAAATTTAATTGAAGGTAAACTCAGTGTGTGTGCATTGCACAAACTGAGAAAAGAAATTTACTGGTAAAGGTAATGTTGTGTATCTAATGTCAAACTTCAAAATAAAAAAAAAGATATTAGCAGATTCAACAAGCTTGTGACAATTTACATCCTATTGCAAGATCTTCTTCATATGTTTTTCACATGTATCCACAAGCAAACACATCTTTTCCAATGCCTCCCGGGGCCGGGGGTGAAAGGGAGAACATCTGGTTTAATTGGCTGTACCACCAAATCTGTTATTTAAATATAGACATGTGTGGTATCCATAGAAACGTCAGAATCTCTGTGCAGGAAGTGTACTTCGATACCAGTTTACAAAATTTTTTTATTTTCTCTCTCTATTGTAAGGTCGACCCACTATTCTGCCTTTTTTGTTTGCTTATTACACACCAGTCTACTGTTGTGTATAGTATTTTTGGCCACTTGTTTTCTTTTTTCCCCAAAAAATGACCTCTGACAAGAAAGCCTAATTTTTGCTATTGAATACCAGATTGCTTCACCGCAGCAGCATTGATCTTTGCACAGGTAATGTCCATATGTTGATTCATTGTTTTCTTCAGTTTTTGATCTACAGTAGCATATTTTCAAGGGAGCTATATGCTATAAAAAGACCAGGCCAAGAAAAATTCCTACATATTTTTATGTTTTATCCAGTGGCATCTGCTCTGATGCGCACACCTCTGGTTAAGTCTCACAAGTACCAAGATGGTTTTGGCACCAAGATGGTTTACACACAGTTTGCAATTGAAGAGAACTAGTCAATTATTTTTGGGCAGTTGCAGCTGTGGGGAAAAGATCTCAGAAGAAAAAACAACAACAAACAAACAAAAACAACATCAAATTACAGTAACAACAACCTTGAGTAGAGGCCTATTCCAAGAGACATTCGCAACACAAACACAAACTCTAAGTTGATTAACTCATAGATCGGCAACTCTGAGTTTTCTGTTCCAGAAGACCTGATCAGAACTCAGTCAACTCATTGAATTAGTTCAATGAGTTTGTCCATGCAGAGCCAGAGCGTTCTCACTCCCGAGGCGTAACATGTCGACGTTTTGTCACGTCCCGCGGCGTTCCTGAGGAACGCGAAAGGAGACCTTCGGCGTTCTTATGGTACGCGGCGGGTTATGGCTGGAATCCAGTGCAATGACGCTCCCGCGGTAGTAGACGTTCCAGCCCTGTATTCCAGCCCTAAACCTAACCTTATCCCTAACCCTGACCATAACCTTATTCCTGACCTTAACCAGGACTTTAATGATGTTAAATAGCGTGTTTCTAAGCGATTTGAAGAAAAAGAGCGAACATGTGTAGGTTCAGTCCAGACGGTTCTCATATTTCCTCTTTTTCCGAGGTCGTCATTTAGGAACGTGGTGGGTAGCCGAAAACGTAATATGGTGACGATTTGTCACCTAGCGTAAAATGTTACGCTTTGGGAGTGAGAACGGGTTGGCAGAGCACATGTGCGAATACACAAAGAAAGCCATCATCAGTGGAGCTCACATACCATGGGTATGGGACAAATAAGCCATTCTAAATGGATCCAGAACAAATCTGGATTGGATGATGGAATGAAATGACAGAGTTGAATTAGAGTCAGCTTAGCCTCATCCAGAATCGGTTTTAGATCTGTCCTGTTGTGCAAGTGGACCCAGACACAGACCCAGTTTGCTGATCCATTATGGAGTCTGATACGTTCGGGTAGTTCTGGTCCTGAGTTACTGGTACCTGGGTAGATTCACTGAAACTGCTTTACGTTACCTCATTTACTGGTTAAGTTAACCATTTTTCTGGAACAGAAAACCAGTTGTTAGTTTAACCTGCTTGGAATACACCTCAGGTTGGTTGGGCCACTAAGTCCTGATCAAGAATGCACACCTCCACCTGCTGCATAGTACATGGGAACAGACATGACGGAGAGGAAAAATAAAAACGACTAATATGAACCATACACATTGCAGTATAATACTAAAAATTACTACCCTTGTGAGTTTTATATCTACCACAACTATGTGCCGCATATTTTTGTTTTCTTTTGTGTTTGTTTTTTGTTTCATTTTCAGAGCATGTTCAGTGACATGGAATCCACACAAGATGATGGGTGTCCCTCTGCAGTGCTCTGCCATACTGGTCAAGAAAAGAGTAAGAGATTTGCTTTAATCTGGAGTCAAGACTGCTATTGTCAGTCTGTATTTTCCTCTGTTTACCACTTTAATGAAGCAGATGTGTGGGCTTCAGTTTTTCTGAGACAGTTTGATTAATTGCTATAAAATGTTGTTAGAACATTAAGAAATAGGTATGTTTGTGGTGTTTACAATTTTTAGTTTTTTGTTAACTACTGTAGTAAGTAGCATATTGTAAATAATTTTTGAAACTATTTGAAAACTGTTTCAAAATAAATTATGCATCAGATTAAGTACACACACATGATTTATGTGCATGGTTATGTAAAATTAGGTGTCCACTTTCCGTTTTTTAACTTTTGACGATTTTTCCCTAACCTTAAAATTTGAGGAGGTTCAAAACTTTGAGTTTTTGCTGCAACACTATACTTGTCTTGTTAATTGTCTTATAACAAGTGCACATGACATGGGCTATAATATATTGGATTGTGACTCAAGAACAAAGAACCGCTCTGCTGTTAATATCTTTGAGCCTACAGGGGCCTATTAGATTTCTAACCCTGCCCACCTAGAATGCCGAGTATATTCCTAAACTTCGAATAACATGGCGAATTCCATGGTCCTCCAGGCAGGTCAAAAATCTGGCCACTTGTAGACTGAAAAATTGTTTCAGTAGATGTAGGTACATTTGATAACAGGTGCAGCTCAGGTTCAGAGTAAAACAGAGCTACACTAGAGCATAAACTCAGCTTCAGGACCAATATCTCTTCCTTTGTGTATAAGGAGGAACAGAAATACACTGCCAGAGTCCCACAAAATGACTTCCAGCAGGCTTTTTATGCATGTTTCTAAACAAACTGTCAGAATTCACGAGGGTGTGGGCCCAAAAACTTGGGCAGTACACTAAGGAAAACAATGGTTGAGGATGTTTGGGCAAGACCAAAATCATTGTGACTGTGTGCAATCAACTTGCAATCTCTTCATCCATGCTCAATCATACAGGAAATTACTAAAAAGTTGATTCTGTTCATCTGGAAGTTGCATTTTCAGTGGGAGAAATATATCTTTTTTTATCCAAGAGAGCACTTAATGCACAGCTAACTGCAGTTTTTCCTAACCTTATAAATAGTACATTTGTACAGAGAGTGCAGAATTATTAGGCAAATGAGTATTTTGTCCACATCATCCTCTTCATGCATGTTGTCTTGCTCCAAGCTGTATAGGCTCGAAAGCCTACTACCAATTAAGCATATTAGGTGATGTGCATCATTATTAGGCAACGTCCTTTCCTTTGGCAAAAAGGGTCAAAAGAAGGACTTGACAGGCTCAGAAAAGTCAAAAACAGTGAGATATCTTGCAGAGGGATGCAGCAGTCTCAAAATTGCAAAGCTTCTGAAGCGTGATCATCGAACAATCAAGCGTTTCATTCGAAATAGTCAACAGGGTCGCAAGAAGCGTGTGGAAAAACCAAGGCGCCAAATAACTGCCCATGAACTGAGAAAAGTCAAGCGTGCAGCTGCCAAGATGCCACTTGCCACCAGTTTGGCCATATTTCAGAGCTGCAACTTCACTGGAGTGCCCAAAAGCACAAGGTGTGCAATACTCAGAGACATGGCCAAGGTAAGAAAGGCTGAAAGACGACCACCACTGAACAAGACACACAAGCTGAAACGTCAAGACTGGGCCAAGAAATATCTCAAGACTGGTTTTTCTAAGGTTTTATGGACTGATGAAATGAGAGTGAGTCTTGATGGGCCAGATGGATGGGCCCATGGCTGGATTGGTAAAGGGCAGAGAGCTCCAGTCCCACTCAGACGCCAGCAAGGTGGAGGTGGAGTACTGGTTTGGGCTGGTATCATCAAAGATGAGCTTGTGGGGCCTTTTCGGGTTGAGGATGGAGTCAAGCTCAACTCCCAGTCCTACTGCCAGTTTCTGGAAGACACCTTCTTCAAGCAGTGGTACAGGAAGAAGTCTGCATCCTTCAAGAAAAACATGATTTTCATGCAGGACAATGCTTCATCACACGCGTCCAAGTACTCCACAGCGTGGCTGGCAAGAAAGGGTATAAAAGAAGAAAAACTAATGACATGGCCTCCTTGTTCACCTGATCTGAACCCCATTGAGAACCTGTGGTCCATCATCAAATGTGAGATTTACAAGGAGGGAAAACAGTACACCTCTCTGAACAGTGTCTGGGAGGCTGTGGTTGCTGCTGCACGCAATGTTGATGGTGAACAGATCAAAACACTGACAGAATCCATGGATGGCAGGCTTTTGAGTGTCCTTGCAAAGAAAGGTGGCTATATTGGTCGCTGATTTGTTTTTGTTTTGTTTTTGAATGTCAGAAATGTATATTTGTGAATGTGGAGATGTTATATTGGTTTCACTGGTAAAAATAAATCATTGAAATGGGTATATATTTGTTTTTTGTTAAGTTGCCTAATAATTATGCACAGTAATAGTCACCTGCACACACAGATATCCCCCTAAAATAGCTCAAACTACAAACAAACTAAAAACTACTTCCAAAAACATTCAGCTTTGATATTAATGAGTTTTTTGGGTTCATTGAGAACATGGTTGTTGTTCAACAATAAAATTATTCCTCAAAAATACAACTTGCCTAATAATTCTGCACTCCCTGTATTCCTTACTGTTGGGGTGAAGGGAGCACCATGCATCGCAAAGGCCAAAGTCACTCATATACTCCTTTGATTATATTTGTGGACTGCCAATTACGCTGAGTTCCTGTGTGTTGAGCCTATCCATTTCTTCATTTAGTCCAAGGCTGAGGTCGCCTCCAAGAACCAGTGTGGCATCTAAGTGTTCAGAGAGTGCTCTGAAAAAACCGTGAAAGAATGAGGGATCATCAACATTTGGACCATATACACTTGCAATACATAGCTTTTTATCACGTATAGATAGTTTAATGATTAAGAATCTGCCCTCTGGATCTATAACTGTATCGAGTACTGTGAAATTAATATTTTTATGTATTAAAATTGCTGCTCCCCTTTGTCTAGAATTATAACAAGCTGTTAGGAAACTCAAGTGTTTTAAGTCCATTCGAACCTCTAAGAGGTCTGTGGGTCTCTTGTAAAAGGACAACATCTGCCTGTAGTTTTTTAAATATTTTTAACCTCTTTTCTCTGGAGCCAGCTCCATTTAGATTCCATGTGACATACCTTAGCGCGCCCATAGATGTCTGTGTATAACTAGGGGTGTGTCGCTTAGACAGGTGGAGAGAATACATCACTTGTTCGTAAATAAAGAGAAGAAGAGAGAGAAAGAATGTGTGGCGAGATGCTCGCTGAGTCTGACTATGTGTGTGCATATTTACTAATATGAGTAGGCTTGGCTTAAGTGTGTGTGTATCCTATACGACTGTGTGCGCTGTCTGACTGATGTAAATGTGCTGCTGTTGAGCGCATGATTGTGCATGATCGTGCTGTGCGTATGTGTCAAAATAAAGGATGTTGTTTGTGGATGTGTGTGGAAGTGTGGAAGCAGGTGATCGAAGCAGTGAAAGAAATTAAGAAAGAAACCAAGGACAAGGGTGAGCAGCATAAAAACAAGAGGGGGAAAAAACGAGAAGAAAAAAATTCTGCTATGATATCACACTTAAGATGCAATTTGATATTGGTAAGTTAAACAGATGTTAATGCAAGTTTGTGTGAGTGGATAGGAGAAGAGTGTAGCGGATTCTTATCTGGTGTGAAGTTAATACACAGGATCTCTTTGGGGAACTGGTCGTTTACGCTGAAGTCCGTTCTTTTTAATTCCCTGCCGCGACTTTTCACCTGTTCCTTTTGTTTGAAGTGGCTGAATTTGGCCACAATAGGACGTGGTCTCCCGGCCGCTGACCGCATGGGGCCGATGCAATGCACTCCATCAAATACAATATTCTTTACGGTGTCCTCTGGCAGCTTCAGGTGGGTTTTGCTTAAGCTTTTTACTGTAGTCTCCGAGTCTTCTCCAGCAGCTTCTGGAATACCAGAAAATACCAGATTATCACGCATGCTACGAGCTTGTAGATCAATAACTGTTTCTTTTACTTTTTTATTTTCTCTATTTGGCTGAGTAACATTGTCTGTGAGTCATTTCACCGACTCCCTTAGCGTTGCATTTTCAGCAGCGAGCGTTTCCACCTGCTGCTGGCTGAACTCCAGGGATTCTCGCAAGGATTTAAATTCTCGGTGAAGAATCTCCACCAAGGACAGCCTCGGATCGAAACTGGACAATCGTTGGTCGATTGACTCCAGTATGTCGGCAATGTCTTTGCCGGTTGGGGATGTTGTGCCGGGGGAATCTGCCGGGTGACATCTTTTCGACGACAGCATCTCAGATTTGGCCAGGGAAGATGCACTCTGCGCCTTCTTCATTACGAGATCCTGGAAGCACTGATCAATGTAATCTTGGAGAGCCTCTAAACTCCAGGGTGTTGGAGATTATTTAGACAAATATTGTTAGTTATGAGACAATTGATAAGTGTATTTGGTAAAATTGAAGCTTAAATGAATTTGTTCAGATCTAAACTACCATTCGCTTTAATTTTCCGCCAAAATCTCCGGCGTCTGACGTCAGTTACAACATGAGTCGCTTACCTTGCCCGTCACTTCCGTCACTTCCGTCACTTACCTGCCCACCTTGGCTCTTGTTTAGCGCGACCTCTGCTGGTTTCCTCTTTCTGGCACAAAGTGGGCAATAAACAAGCAAGAGAGAAAAGCAGATCAGTTTCATGATTGAAGTAGCAACAGGTAGCTAATAATGGTCAGCTCCCCAAATTACAGTTTATTTAATAATTAAACTGTGTTTACAAACATACCCATACCCTAAACTCTAAATAGAAAATGCAAACAAAAGCTATCACAAACTGTACTTTTTTTATTTACACAAATACAATAACCTTAAATATTTAACAGTAATAACAATATATCACACCTCAAATTGGTAGTCAAGATTCTAAATCACTGAACAAAGGCCAGAAAATGTACCAATATATTTTGATTTCATGGCCATCTAAAGAAATTAATAAGTAAATTCAAGTAAGCAATAACACCTCTGAAAAACAGGTAGCCAGTGATAATTAGTGTTACTAGCCTCCTGGACAAATGACTAGTTTCCAAGACAAAGCTGGCACTAGTGCTAAAAATGGGAAATGGCCTGTATTTGCATAGCGCTTTACTAGTCCCTAAGGACCCCAAAGCACTTTACACATCCAGTCATTCACACACTGGTGATGGCAGCTACATTGTAGCCACAGCCACCCTGGGGCGCACTGACAGAGGCGAGGCTGCCGGACACTGGTGCCACCAGTAAGCGACAGGTGAAGTGTCTTGCCCAAGGACACAACGACCAAGCCTGTCCAAGCCGGGGCTCGAACCGGCAACCTTCCGATTACAAGGCGAGCTTCCAACTCTTGAGCCACGATCGCCCTGTAAACCAGACAAAGGCCTAGTGCAGGCTAATGCCAGTTGCCTATTCAAACAAAAAATGTGATGAATGCAGTCTAACTGTATGCAAATGCAATTTATAGGAAACATAGCTCAGAGCTGAGACCTTAGCAAGCTTCTGGTAGGCAGGCAGGTAGTCAGGATGTAGTGGCCCATCTGTGTAGTTTCCGCTTTAGTTTGTCTGAATGATTTCTGCCTCTTTCATCTTCAGGGTCTCTTACAGGAGTGTAATAAGTTGGGGGCCCAGTACCTTTTTCAGACGGACAAACCATACGATGTGAGCTATGACACTGGAGATAAAAGCATCCAGTGTGGCCGACACGTTGATGTGTTTAAACTCTGGCTGATGTGGAAGGCAAAGGTATATTTTAAAGTACAACTAAAACCGCAATGTTGGTGTGGGTGTGTGTGCGATAGTGTCAGTAACATAACCTCTCTAACATAACCTGTAAGTATAAGCATATCAAACATTTAGTAAACAAGAGTAAAATTATTGAAATACAATAGAATATCATGAATTATTTTTTGTAGTAATTTGTTTTTTGCAAATGGTTTCAATTTCCTCCCTAAACAAAACCAGGTTATAAGATGTCTTTATGCCCTTTTAACAATAACTATTTGTCTCTCTCACTATGTCCACTATTTAATATGTGAGGGCTCAGACGGCTTTGGATCTCAAGTCAACAAATGTCTGGAGAATGCTGAGTATCTCTATGATCAGCTGCAGAAAAGGACAGAATTTGAACTAGTCTTCAAAAACAAAGTGAGTGTGCTCTTCACAGATATTTTTCCAGAAATATTGATTCTTTGATAGTACTATATGCCAAACCAATTTTCTGTTCAGTTTGCACTGCAACATGACCTTATGTTGGAGACTGGGTGTGCGTGGTACATGGCCATTTAAAATGATGAATGTTTCTTCTATGTAAGTTGAGTTCAGATACAGTGGGGCAAAAAAGTATTTAGTCAGCCACCGATTGTGCAAGTTGAATTTTGGAATTTTCAGCTTTTTCACCTGTTATCAGCACAAATCTCAACCTCTTCTGCCCTTTTCAATAGAATTTTTAGCATCTTCACCTCTTTTTCAGGACAATTTTCAGTTTCATCTCTTTTTAGTCACCTGAGAACCAATTTGGCTCAGTGAGATGAGCAGCCGCCTTAAGACCATATAGCGCAGGTTGAAATCCTACCTCTGGCTCTGGCTGCACATCTTCCCTGCTTTCTTGACACTCTTCAGTGTAGTCTTTCAAATAAAGGAGTTTTCAGCAGAGTTCAGCTTCTACACAGTGTTTTGAGCAGATAGTTCTCCTTCGGCTTTTTTCAGATTCCACTACATGGCATTCACACTGCATTTTCGCAGGAAATGCAGCTTTTTCTAGTTTTTGTTTGTTTGTTTGTTTTTTACAGCGCATCATGTTCTGCGTCCTGATTGGCTATAGATTGTCAATCAATCTCGTGCCGTGTATCTTGTACAGTACAGAATGCGTTCAGCTTGTCAAATTTACATAAATCTTCGATCGCTAGCAGTGTGACTGAAGTGCTGTAAATTTGTAGGTTTTCTCCACAACAAACACAACAATGTCGATGAAACGTTTTGCACCATCAAAGGCAGCCGCGGGTGCCTTTGGCTTCATTCTATAATACTGGACTTATTTTTCTACGAAGGTTTGGACTGTGAGAGTGTTTAAACATGAAAACAAAAGTGTGAAAACGTTCATGCTTGTCTGAGAAAAGTTTATAAAGTTTGTAGTGAGGACTTTTACAGCCTTAAAACATCTATAATAATTGTAAAAAAAAAAAAAAAGCAAAAACATAAAATAAAGTTGATTTCACCTATCGCGGGTTATTTTTAGAACGTAACTCCCGCGATAAACGCGGGACCACTGTATTGCTTAATGTTCAAGATGTGTTAAAAAGAAAAAACAAACAAAAAACACTCATAGCAGCAAGTGTGAGTGTGTGCATTGGGATTCTAGCAATTATAACAAAATACAGACATTTAAACCTGTCAACAAACTGCTGCTCAGTGTGCCGTAAACATGTAACTGCAAACATTACCACCGGATGGGTGGATGGATAATTGACCAACCAGAAACAGCTCTGTAATACTGCTTTTGCTAATCACCTTATGAAAACGAGTGCAGTGTGCTTTAATTTTGTACGGTAAATAAAGAAATGTATCAAACTAAAATTAAAAAGAATTTAAAGAAAATTGTGCAAGAAATATTTCAGCAGTGACAAATTGTTGGCTGGTTAGCTGAACGGTGATAACAACAAAACATAAAAATTAAGCACACCTAGCACGCAGCAGCACAGATTGTTTAGAGACAAATGTGTGACATGGACAGAATTCCACAGTGCTCTGTAATGTGGCAGTAATAAGCAAAGTGACAACCCATCTGAACCTGAACCAGGTCTAACTTACATGTAACCAGGAACTGTTGTAGGACATACATGTTTTGGTTTGTTTTACCTTTAACTAGTTTAACTAGTATCTAACTAGTTAGATATTATTTGTTTTTGTTTTTTTTTCTTCTCTTTTTCTCTTTACTTTATTTAGCTCTTTGGTTTCTCATCTATTGAAATGAACAAACATGGTCTGTCCCTTTTCCTCCTTCAAACAGCCAGAGCACAGTAATGTGTGTTTCTGGTACATCCCTCCCAGTCTGAGAAGCTTGCCACCTGGACCTGACAGAGATAGAAGACTCCATCAGGTCAGTGCACATCATTACAGTGGTGCTTTTGGACTACAGTGGATCTTACATAGTGGTCTGTGGGCTAATGTCCCCAGGACCACATATTGCCATGAACACCTCCCTGCATACACACATAGACTGACAAGGTGGAAAGAAGACCAGCCGCTCTGCCGCTGACAGAATACTAATGTTGCTCTCTTTGAGCTGGATTTGGAAATTGCATGCTGTTTTCATTTAAAGACAAATCTTTTCTACTCGTGAGTTCTGGTTAAGCTTTGTGTTATTGTTGTAGTAGATATAACTTGGTTTATTTCTTTGATTATTTTCTTATTTTTATCCTTAGGTTTCTGAGTTAGCTTTGGTACCTTTTAAAAGTAAGGCTATTATTATTAGTGACTGTTATGATTAGGCGGTTGCATTGTCGTCTTTGTGTTAGATATTTGTGTCATGTTACTTCCTGTGTTATTTTGATAACGATTTGTCTTTTTAGTCTGCATCTGGGACCTCTTCTGTCTCAGTTTCTTCATGTGTTCATACTACCAATGATGATCTTTAATATATTTCTCTGCAGGTTGCTCCTCGGATCAAAGGCAGGATGATGGAAAAGGGCTCTGTTCTGATTGGCTATCAGCCGTTGGGAACCAAAGTCAATTTCTTCAGGTGTGTGTTTTCCAATCCTGCCACTCAACAAGAGGACATCGACTTTCTGCTGGATGAGATTTGCCAGCTGGGTGCTGACCTTTAAAATGTTTAAGTTAACAGGTTTTTGATATTTATACAAGCATAAAGTAATTTTAGTTTTCCATTAGCCTACATAATATGCATTGAAGTAAAGCCTGATGATAGTGTAGAAGCTTAAGGAAACTTTCTTGATTTATATTCCAGCTTTCCACATTTAATAATTCAGTATTGACTGTTATTGTCATTTTCTACTATGGATTTTTTTGTCTAATCAACAGGCCCTTTAACTTTCAGAAACCATCTGAAATAACCAAATGATCAAATGATCTTCATTGTTCTCAACATTTTTTATGTATTGTTATGATGTGTAAGAAACAATAGTGGAAGATGTGTTCTGTCGAGAGAGGAAGTCCCCTGGCTTACCTCTCATTACATCTGAGACAGCGTAAAAGGACAACATTCAGGACTTGACATTTATATTAAAAATTATACGGAGTGCATAAGAATAGTCTATCTACATGTGGTTTTGTTATCTTAAATAAATCATCTTTATTCTTAATCAAAGACATGAATTAAAATATAAGTCTGATAATTCCGGGGTGGCTGTAACTCAGGTGGCAGAGCAAGTCAGCCACTAACCAGAAGGTCGGTGGTTCGATCCCAGGTTCCAGTTTGCATGCCAAATATCCTTGGGCAAGATACTAACCCCTTGTTGTTTTCTGATGCATCCATCGGAGTGTGAATGCGTATGAATGTTAGATAGAGCACTTAAGAGCTTAGAAGAAGTGCTTGTGTGATTGGGTGAATGAATTAGTTGTATGAAGCGTGTAGAAAAGCGTTATATAAGAACCAGTCCATTTACCATTAATGAGTTGAGTAATGAAAACGTTTCTAATTTGTGGATTTTGTATGCATAGATGTGATCCGGTTTCAACAGACAGATTAGTCTCTGTGTGTGTCTGTGTTGCCAGCCCATCATTATACATAATTCTGAAAAAGAGAAAGGGTATTAAGTGCTGTAACTGTGTGTGGACAAGAAGGATGGGAGGAGTGAGTAAGTGAGAAGCACTGAGCAGCAAAAAAACGTCTGGCTATGAACGGCATGTCTTATTAAAAGAAATTGCATTATTTTGTGATTGACAAACAGCGTTTGAAGAGAAAATGTTTTCCTATATATGTGAATTAAAAGCAGTTATGTTTAAATGAATGTTCATGTGAGAATGAGCTAACGATAAATTAAGTAAGACTGCATAATTAATGTAACATGAAGCGTATTCATATGTGACTGAGTGTTCATATGTAGTGCAGCTTTCTATGTTAAGAATAACACAGAAAATAAGAAAATGTAATAAATTGATTTTAAAGTTAAAGATTTCAAACTTTAACTGTGTTAAATCAAGTATGTGTTAACGTTAGAGAGAGGATGATAAGGTGTGGCTGGACGTTGGGTGATTAAATGTTAACAATGTTGATTGGATGTCACCGTGGGTGAGACCAGATGTCATCTCATAAGATGTAACATACAGTAAGAAAGGGAGGAGAAAGGATGACCGGGTATAAAAGTGTTGTGCAGAAGAGATAAGTTGTTCTTCCCTTTGTCTTCTGTGGGATGAGCAGTACAGAAGATTGGATCTCAGAAATTCACAGTTGGATAACCCAACAGAGATATGAGAGGGATGTACCACTGCCCCAACTTTTAAATTGGTTTTGTATTGCTCCGCTTTTTCTATGCTTACTTTTGTGTTGTTAGATTATAAAATCAAGAGGATTTCCACTAAGCATGGAGCACTAGATAAGCACATCCTCAGGCTTGGGGTTCTCTCTCCAACCTCTCTCCTCACAAAGATCAGAACAAAGCGAGCATTAGCTCAGAGTAGGTTAATTGAATAAACATAAGTGATTTGATTCTCTTTTTATCATTATTTGATTCTGCTTTCCTTTGCTCCTGCTAAATTCATTTAATAAAACATGCAATTAAAAAGTCTCAATTGTGGACATTCCCTTTTTCGCCCTTTGTGAAAAAGGAAAGGTAGAAATCTGAGTATTAATCTACATTAGTACAAATAGCTCTTACACATTACCCCAGCCTTTAAAAGTAACAGACCCTTGGAGCTTAGTTTAGCAAGCCGCTAAGCTAAGCCCAGTTATAGTTCAAGAGCACTGACCTACTACTAGTTGGGGACCTGCTGTTAACGAGTGTGGCTGGTAGGACCAGGCCTGCAAGTCTAATTAAAGTTCCTGTGTTGTTGTTTTTTTATATAAATAAA